CCGAAATGGGGGTTTCCGAAAATAAGGGACCCTAATATAGTACCCTAAATAGTAGGATCCTTGTTGTAAGGACCCCCAAATAAGGTATCCCTTATTTTCGCAAACTTCCAAATGTCTTCGGCGTCTGGCGCAGCTCTGGCCTCGACCTTGCGATCCTCGGAGAGCGCCTCGAACTCCTGGAAGAAAAGGGGTTTAAGGCCTTGGGTCTTGCTTCACGGGTTTTCTTCGGCCCTTCAGGATCCATTTAGGATTATTAGTTATACTACATAGTACTAGACGGTACATGACAGTACTAGTATTACTAGTAGCTGTTTGTGCTGACATCCCCACCATCGACCCCATGCTTAGATGTGCAATCATGGGAGAGCTTCCACGGCCCCAAGTTCAGGCCTGTCCAGTGAAGGAGTTCTCCTTGTGGCCGCCCGAAGGCGCCAAGATCCCCAGCTTTTGGGAGATGGCCTCGCGACAGGGTTGTGTGTTTTGTTTCGTAGCTCGGACCAGCTAAGCAGTGTGTCATGACGAACTCAAGCAAAACAGCTCTGGTAAGATGAGACCCGCACAGAACCCTGATGGTGGGGTCCACCATTAGGCCAGTGTAATCAAATTCTTGGGATGCAGGGCGGTTTGTCGGGAGCCCTTATAACTTATATCAACAGGGCGACACAACCTGGAGGGCCCGCAAGCCTTACTTATAAGCCCCGCCGAGGCAAAGCGGCTGGAGACGCGTTAATAAAGCGGTCGGCATCTCGACAGGTTAGGTGGGATATCGGTCTTTGCGGCTGACCAATGCTGACCACAAGAGCCACGATCTTGCCAGGCTTTCCGAACGATTTGCCGCAGTAGGGACATGAAGATCAGTGCTGATAACATCCTGCTCTGCCCCAGACATGCGTGACTTTCGCCAAGGACCACTGCGACGAGCCGTACACTCCTCCTGTAGCCAAGCTTCGGCGGTCTGCAGTGTTAAACTCTGTCGCGATCAAAACACAGTTGTTCTCCACATACCCAAAACGGTTGTCAAGCCTTTCGAGTGACATGACCCAATCTCTATGGGACTTGTACTCCAGCGGGACTCCCGAATAAAAGCATCTTCCCTCCTGTGCGACCAGCATGTCAAGAATATCTCGGTAAGTAATGTGGCAGACGTGGCCCCGCTTTCGAGATCTTACTGCTGCCCCAGAAGCCATTGAAATCGACTTGCCCCTCAAAGTGTTGTAGTAATAGTAATTGTGGGAACGGCTGCAGGAGTTTGGAAGGCGAGGATTGCGCGGGACGTGCTCGGCGGAAGCCAGTTCAACGTCTGCTAGGAGCTTATGTAAATCGACTTCGCAAGATGAGAAAGCGTCGCCAACAAAGCCAACCTTCTCTAAAGACCACTGGGCTGTTCCTTGTACACTCGCGGGGTCAACGGCATGTCGGCTGTAGTCGGACGAGTTAAATTCGGCACAAATGAGAGCACAGTTCTCACGGGAGTAGCCTTTGGAGTTGTCCAGCCTTTCCAAGGACATGCGCCAGTGCGAGTGGGGAAAAAGTAGTTCCATTGGAACCCCCGAGTAGGCACATCGTCCATGCTGCTCCAGCAACATCTCCAGGATGTCATGGCTTGTTAAGGAGCAACTCAAGCAACGCTTCCTGGCACGACGTCTAGCTCCGCCGATCAAAGTGGAGGCATTTCCGCGCAATGTCCGCCGGTACTCTTGGCATCTATCCCGGTAGCAAGCCTTGCAGGTGCTCCCGGTGTTCATGTAGAAATCCTCCTTAGCACAGTACTTTCCGCACACATCGCATTGCATCTGGCCAGCCTCGTCGACATAGGTTCGATTCCTTGACCTGCTATTGGCTCGTGATGGCTTCTCGAAGGCCTGGGACACCAGGGTATTGAGCCGTGGCAGGTATTTGGCCGACGGGGCCGCGTCCAACAGGCTGACATCATCCAGCCGCGGCAGTACAACAAACGATCCGGTGCTGCAACATGTTACGGCAAATCTTCGCAATGATCTGTGCAAGCCTGGCAAACACCCTTGAAGTGGCCCGACTGCGGCAAGCCGAGCACGAAAAGGGAGCATCACGGAAATCCGTCTTCCGTTGCAATCAGAGTGAGACAGCGGTCCCAGGCACGAGGTGACTCAGGGAAGGACCATTGCAAATTGAGGAATGTGTCCGCACTGCTTCAAGCATGCCAAAGGCGCACTACTCATGACACTCGACTACGACGCATTCGACCCGGTCCGACACAAACACACGCAAACAATCTCTCGCTGGGCCCGTTGGAACGACAATAAAGCCGAGCAAAGCCTGTCCGCTCCACTCAAGCAGGTGCCTCAGCTGTCGTCTTGTTGTCACCGGTGATCATGATAACCTGGGCCAGGTTGGGCCGAACTGTGTGCTGCAGTTGCGCATCGCGCCACATGCACGATGTTGGTGCGTTGGTTTGGGCATGTGTTCAAATAGGTGATCTGCTCGCCATGCTGAAGAAAACTAATTGAGTAGTCGCGGGTTGAACACCAAAAGACGTATGATCAGCGGAGCCGTGCACTCGCAGGCTAAACCCGGACTACCCCAAGTAGCAGGACCCGGGGGAACCGCAGCAGTAAAGACCCGGCAAGCAGCGGTTTCAACACTTGTTGAGCCAAGCCAAGTAAGCCATGTTCTGAGCTCTGGACGCTGATGCCGGCGACACGGCATGCCTGATTTGATCAGCAGCATGTGCTCCGACGTCTTGCATCTGTCTATAATATACGATGAGGCTACTGCACGTTACTTCAATACTGTGGAATCTGCTAGCCCTGCAACAAGCTTCGAAGATCTGCAATGTTTTCTGGACCTGAGGAAAGAGCAAATCCCACGGTGGCAAATGCTCTGAAGAAAACCACCCTTGAAACCAGACAGCCGGAACTCATCACAGGGCGGCCTCAATGGCAGGGCTACACTCTGGTCGCGGAGGGTCCAGGATGCCAACCATGCCAACAAAGGTCATCTCCTGGGCTGTCCGGGCGCGAGGTCCCTACCATGTTGATCACAGGGTATGAGGCGTGGTGTTTTCGTGAAACACCTCTAGCAGCACTCTACATTCCCACTTAGTGTCGCGCTCTAAACATGTTCTGTGGACTCTTCAGCCGTGCGACAGACTCAATCTCAGCGAATTTCGCCGGCTCTGCGAGGAGCGCATGGCCTGGTCAATGCTACAGCTGCTCTGGTGGTTGGTTCTGCAGTACGGTTTCCGTTGAGAACTTGACTCTATTGACTTGTTACCAGTAGAAAACATGCATCATGAGGTGCAATGCTGCAGGAGTGAATGCCTCGAGAACTATATCATACAGATTTCGAGGAAGCAGCTACAATTTCCAAAAGGAATGTTCAATTGTACTGCTGACTACTGTAGCACAGTAACGAGTATTTGCATTGCCTCACAGGCAATGTAGCCACTCACGAATCCGCTTTGGAAGACTCGTTTGTTGCCCTTGCAGCACCTGGATGGCTTTGGGAGCCATCGTATGTCTGCAGCTCCCCGAGGTCCTGCACATGTGGCAGACTTCTACGCACAGACACTGCGGGGATTGGCCAGTACGTCAGCGCGAGTTGAGGCCACCGACTTCGGTCACAGGTTGGGCTGGTTGAGGAGGCATGCGTATTCATGAATGTGCTGCATGTTCCAAACATGTCGAACATGGAAGCCACTCTCCGATAATCTGTCTGACGCTGATGTGCCACGGAATCGGCCAGAGCTGTCCTGAGACTTGACTGCCAAGCCTGGGTACGCCGAGAAGTTCACGTGCATACGTGATCTCATATGTCACCATATGTTGTGCAGGCATCTGTCGACATACGTGTACAGACCTGCTACCTGCATAATATTTTCCGACAGCATCTTTACGTGATAATTCCTGCGATTAGGGAATGCTTTCTTGCGAGCAAAGCAACCCGGCATGGTTTTTGACGAACCGAGCATTAACGAAACCTAACATCGCCAATCTCGGTCGACCCCTCCAAGCCCTCAAGCCCCAGAGTGGGAAGCCGTCCCACATGATCTAATTTGAAGCAGAATCACATTTGTGCAAATGCTTGCGCCAGCTGGAACGGAAATCATGCAATCCCAGACACCCATGGTTCGCAGCGCCGACTGCGCCATGGACTGCAGCTCACCTCGCGCAGTTCGCTCAGAGGCTGACTTTCTTGAAAGACAAACTATGATGACGCACGTTGCGCATGAGATGACGGAAAACGATTCATGCTCAGCTAGCTTTCGGTGTTTCGGTGCGTGCGCCGTGCCCGGCCTTCGATGGCATTTCGCCACTTGTCCGTCAGGGGTTCGACCTTCAATGTCACAGCTGAGCGCGGCAAACAGATCCCGAAATCCTTGAGGCTTGCGAAACTCAGAAGCGAAGTCTACGGCTGCTGTCGCTCCTAAAGTGAAAGCTCCTCCTCAGGCTTCTGACTACTGTTTTTTCCCACCCGCCTAACTACTGTTAGATGTGGAGGTTTGCGAGACAAGCTGCCTTTCCGTCGGGCAGCATGATCTTGGAGCATCGCCTGAGGCGTGTCAGTTGGATCAGCTAGGACCTGTCCTAGCACCGCAAACAATTTTTTTCTTAAGGAGCGAAATTCCCAACAAATAGGAATACTAAGCCCCAAGCCGTCAAGCAAGAGATATTCTCGCAGTTTTCAATCCCACAGCGTTCGAACCATCAGCGCCACCATTGCCGTCAGGACTGAAATCTCGAAACAAAATCGAGTTCCAAGTACAGCCATTCCGGATTTGTCGTTGGTCGACGGACGGAGCCGAGGTTCAAGTAGGACAGACTCCAAAGATGTTCAGCCCAAGGACCCCTAAATTGTTCGGTAATCACGAGATCCCCAGAGCAACAGCAAAAGCAGCTTTGTGTCCCAGTCGGACCCTAAACCGACCCCAAACAACAAGAACACACCATGAATCCTATGCCATACACCCTGAAGCCTCAACCCCTTCCAAACCCTAAACCTCACACCCCAAACACCATAGATCCTCCAACCCCTTTTTCGCACCCACACCCTTCTGAACACCCAAAACCCCAAACCCTAAAGCCATCCAGCCCTGCCAACCCTAACCCCTAAACCCCAAACCCTAACTTGACTGTCCGGAAGGCTTTACGAGCATCTCCGGAGCGCCCTTGGCGAAAAGGATGTTGCTACCGGCGGCGCTGTCGTTCCAGAGCACACCTCAGCTGGCTAAGGGATGTTAAGGTTTCTTAGTTTGTTTTTTTGGGCTTACTGTAACCATGTCAGGGAAGACTGTTAAGGGTTACAATTTCTTTCGAATTTGTTTAGGTTTTTGGCTTGCTGTAACTATGTACGGTTTAGATTTATGGCCAGCTGGGGTTGAGCTGTGCTCACTTGCAGCAATGCTGACATGGCAGACGTGTCTGGGCATCTACATGGATCGATACGCATCGCCACAACTGTGTTACCCGACGAGTGCATGTTGCATCTCCAAGAATACCACACACACACATACACTACAACTGGCCAACCAACAAACCAATCAACCAAGATCCAATTATCATTGGATTTCCTGTGTCCGACCGCAGTCGTCCCAATGCCGTACTACTCACACTTCGAGCTGATGCCAAGATGCTCATGGACTTTCGGTCCCGGCTGAATTCCAGGACGGCCTGCAAGGAACAAACCAGTCAGTGGGCAGACGTTGGGCTTACACGTCCTGTCTCTTTCTAAAGCAGCTTGAACACATGAAGATGGGCTTTACATCGCTGGGACGCTCTCTGCAATTGGTTTCAGTTGCGGCCTTCTTCTCCATGCCCTTCTCCCAGTACTGCGAGAAAGCCATAGCATCTTCCTTCGACCTGGCATGAGGTGGTTGGCGGTGAGGGATGGTGAGGAGATCTTTAGAATATGAGAAGATGCATCCTCAAGATAGAAAGCACGAGGGCCTCTTGTCCTTCTGGTAGCATCTCTGGTTGAGCGCCTGGCATGGCAAGGGTTTGTCCCACCAAGCTGCGGAAAAGGTGTGAGTGAGTATACACAACCTCCTCTTCTTCTAAGAGCAGCTACAGGTCCATTCCTTAGGGTCAGGAGTTTAAGGCTTTGCTGCCATACATCCAACGTAAACACCCACGCACCCTCTTTGGGCAGCCCCCCAGATCTTGTTTGCAGACCTTACACCCCCAACCTTCAACCCTGAATCCTCTTTTTTTGCAGAACTCTTATGAAGAGCCCTAGGGAACCCCTGTAACCCTGTTTTTTGCAGAAGTCTTATGAAGAGCCCCAAGGAGCCCCTGCGCCTGGTCCGGACAGCCGAGCTTCTCGACCAAGACACGGATGGCAGCTTCGGTGGGCTCGCCATTTCTGATGAACTTCTCCTTGACAGGGGGTTTATGGATGTAGGAGTTTAGGGTTTAGGTTTTAGGGTTTATGGATGTAGGAGATTAGGGGCAACTGTGCGGAGGCTCACGGAGGGCTTGGGAGGACGGTTGCGCACGCTTGTCGATCCTATACCTGTCTGCAAAGCTTACATCCTGCAGCACAAGCAGGCCGTAAGGCCAAGCACAGAAGCTCTACAGAAGCCGTTATGTATATGGGGGCTTCCGAAAATAGGGGACCCTGATATAGTACCCTAAATAGTAGGATCCTTATTATAAGGACCCCAAAATAAGGTACCCTCATTTTCGGAAACTCCCATATGAATCCTCGAAGGTGCCCGTACAGGAACCCCTGAGGCCACGAACCCTAAGCATTCCCTGTCCTCATCATCGACCAGGAGCCTCGACTCGTTGCACATGCAGCCGATCCTCAGTCCCAGGCGCAAAGGGAGGTGAGGTTTTGGGAACTATGTATGTATGTGTATATATACATATATATATATATATATACATATACATATATATATATATACATAAACATATATACACATACGTGTACACATATTGATATACGTGTAAATGAACAAAGAACTATGTCAACATGTATAACTACATACATTATGTATATGTATATGTATATATATATATACATATATATATATATATATTTGCATACGTGTATGTATATATATACATATATTGGAGTATTAAAGACATAAGGGTTTCGACTCTCACAACAATCGCTCAAGGCAGGCAAGGCTCCAAGACAAACCTTCCAACGGCAAACTGATAACAAAGCCCAGCTGTCCCAGTCAGGGACATCGCAACAAACCTACTTTCAGTTTAACGTCATGCCCATACTCGGACCGACCAGCACCTAACCTGTCAGGAAATAGGGGTTTAAGGTGTCAAGTTTAGGGTGAGCTTTGAGGGTTTTGGAGCACGACCGGCACATCGGCGAAGAAAGGGACTGTGTACTGAATTATAAGGCTCTCTGAAACGTTTATGCAGTCTGCAGCTCTGACATTGAGGCCCGTGCTTGGCCAAGGTCTTGATGGCCTCGTTCTTCCCCCAATCGATGTCCAGCTTCGCTACGCGGCCCACAGGCATGTAGTTGTGACCTTGTCCGGCCAGATGCCAGCAGAAGTGTGCATGTCATACAATCTTGTCCTGCTCACCGAAATCTGACAACCAATCCTGTCCTCATCGGTCTGAGCCACTGTGACTGTGGAATCATGGCTTTGTGCGTTTCCGAATCTCAACGTTATCGTACAGTAAGGTCGGCCCTGGTGAAGCTAGGAGCTGACGAACCCTTCGTTAACGCCGACAATGTCGAGTTTCGGGCACGCAGTCTATCATCTGCCTGCATGGCCTGAACTGAAGGCTCGAGTGTCCACAGAACATGGCCCATCTGGGGTGCGGACCTTCGACATCGTAGTCCTTAGGGGCGGCCGACGCAGGCAGCGGTAGCTTTCTTCTCGAAGTTGTTTTCACTCACACTCTCGTACGCATGAGCAACCCCGAACACGAAGTCAGCAAGTCTATCTCGAGCTGCCCCGTTATGCATGAAGTGCGCATCTTCAGATGGATGTTGAGGAATGTGTGAGGAACTATGAGGAACATGCTCGAGCTTCGGCAGGATGCCCCCAAACCAAAACACACTTAGCCCATACAAGCACTTTGTAGAACGATCGCCGTGTCAACAGGGAAAGCTCAGGACCCGCCTTCAGCCCGTCGCCGCTGGGGAGGGCTAGCTTGACCACGCACATCTCCTCAGCTAGCCGACATTGCCGATTGGCCTTCGAATCTGGTTCTATGATGGGAATCAGGAACAGTAGTGTAGATAGAATTGTGTGGTGGTTTCAGCGCAGTGGGGTTTATGCACGTTGGGTCGTTTACTGTAAGCATCCATATATTTCGTTGACAGAGTCTTCCCCAATCTCGGAAGTGGCACTTCCCCCACTTCCAGCTCACAAAACCGGTGTCAAAAATCGGATCATTGCGCGCAGCAAGGCCTTCGGCCTGAGAAGTAACGGACCGTCACTCCGGCTTCCGGTCCCCTTAACACTATGTACTATAGAACTTTATAGATTATAGAACTATAGAACTTTATAGGTTATAGAACTATAGAACTTTATAGATTATAGAACTATAGAAAACAGCGATATGCAAAGCAAGCTTCGTTGGTCGTCAGCGTTCCAGTCTTGTCGGAGCAGATGACAGTCGTGCAACCTCAGCCCCAGGGCCCAGGCTTTCGAGTTTAGGGCGTAGGGCGACAGAAACCTGGGCAGCCTTGACAAGGTACGTGATCTCAGAATCATGCACATCTACAATATTGCATGAGGCTGTATGAAATCGGTCGCCTGGTAACGCTCTGCCGGAGCAGAGATGTCCGACTGGACCATACTTAGGTCATACTTCGAAAGCCCTGACTGCACTAGAAGTTTCTTGAAAAACACACAACCAAAGAAATCCTGGAAAGCAAGCTTATGGCAACTGCTTGTCAAGAGTATGCTTGTGACAGCTGTTCGGCATGCACTCGGCATACTTTTGTTGCAGTCTGTCCAAAGGCTAAGACAGGATTCTGTCGTGGGCAATGTTTTTCGGTTCTTGATGTCATTACCATCCGCCACTTGGCATACGTCTTTGCGCCACCTCCGAGCTCTCAGGTCTGCAAAAGCGAAAGAAGCCCATCGTAGTCGACACTCACACACTTGCAGGAGCCGACCTGACCTGGGTCCCTTAAGCAAAAGTTATGGGAGCTCTAAGGACCAGGAGAGACACCGGGGAAGACCCCGGGGCTCTTTTCAATGATGTGTTGGGGACTTCACGGCTGGGAGGGCCCGGCCCAGCGTCTCCACGGAGGGCAGCTTCCGGACGATGGCGTTTCGCTTGGCCATCTGCCTGATCCGCAGCCCCTTCCACTTGGGTCCCCAAATCAAAGGTTCCGGAACTAGAGACAGACAAAGCCGGTGTTGTCTTCAGACTCTGTAGTTCTGGTCATCTGACGTACAGAAATGGCATTTACCACAGGGCTCATTAGCACAATATTGTCTCAACGGGGGCAGGATCCTTCCGATGGAGAGCAACCACTGCTTAAGCGCCAAGGCACCGTGTGCCCAGGGCTAAGCAAGTGGTGATTACCGCCGGAAGTCCTGCACAAGTTTTCATTGCTGCAGGGGACAATGGTTTAGGCCACGCCTTGAAGCAAGTGTCCGAAAGGAAACTCTCGCTCCGCAGTAGTTAGCTGCCTGAGGGATGCAATTAAACAAATCGTGTTCAGGAACTGGTATAGTTGTCCCTAACCTTGCATCCCTGAGACGGGTCCAACCCAGCAGCTATTCCTCTTTCTTCAATGGGACTAAACCCTTAAGGACTGTAGAACCAGTCAGCACGGATCGGATACCATCTGTGCAGGTGTCTTGTCTCCTTCTGGAATGGCGGCCACCGCAAGGGCCACTGCAATTTTGAAGTAGTAGATGCACCTGGAGCCCGGGCAGAATGTGCAAGCGTCTCGTGTGAGCCTCCTTGTAAGTCACAGTCTGAAAGCATGCCATGGGTCTGAGATGAGTTTAGGAACGCCGTTTACCCTATACCCCGTGATATGCCAAAGTTGAAGGACGATCATAGCTCGCAATTGCCTACAGTATCCGCTTCAGGCACCCGTCTGCAAAGTTCGCACTGAGCGCAAGACCCCTTGATCACGGAGCCGTGGACGGGATCGAAGAAGTGCCTTCAGAGCTTTGGGGGCCCCGGAGGCTTTCGACTTGGGGCTATTGGCCTTTTGGGAAAAATTCGTGGAATTTGTGCGGTCTGAGTGACCCTGCAGCTGTTCAGGCCGCGTGCTGCTGAACAGGCCATCACATCTCAATGCTTTTTATAACGAGAAGGCTTCTATTTGCCTCATCGTTTGAAGGTTCCCAGAAGCACTGTTAAGCATGTGGCTGACAAGGTCCAGAGCAGCAAGTGGCAGCTGATCATCTTCAGAAGTCATTTCGATATCAGGTTTACTGGGCTCTTTTGCCCAAGCTGCTTGTAGTTGATCACCCATACCAGCAAGCAGATGATGCCGATCATCTTTGCCAGCAGGTTTCCGAATTCCTGGGAGAGCCAAGCAAAATCACGTTGTTCTTCTTGTGCTCTCAGGACTGTAGCTACATCCTCACCGGCACCCGGGTGTCCAACTTCATATTCAAATATTCAACCTGTACAGAGTAGGACTGAGCAGGACCACAGATCCCAAACACGCAAGAAGCTAGAAACCGCCGCCAAGTCCGAGCTTCGTCGAGCTTTTCTTGCAGCGGCGTCTGCTCCTCTTCCTCGCCGGCTTTGGTCACGGCTGCCTGAAGCAATGAAGATCAAGGTCCGGGAAAAAACTGATAAACATTTCCCGGCAAAAGCCCCTCTTACTCAGGCTTGAGTCCTTGGCATGCCTTCACTGTCCATGCCTCGGATCTGAGGATATGCTAAAGGATTCAGAACTCCGATCCTGGTTGAAGTGGATTTAATGAGCTCCTGCACTGCGCAGCTTTCAGGGCCGCCACATAGTAGACAAGAGTCCAAAACCCCAACTTCAGCAGGTTCAGACTAAATTGAAGAAGAGAGGCCCGACGGCGAGCCGAGGCTACAACAGGGAGGCTGCAGTACGGGGTTTCATTCGAGGCGAGGACTGTGGGATGTCGTGAATCTGAAGGCATGCAGACTTGTCTGTGAACGACTGTCAAGCCTGGATGATGCCGATCTCTGTGCTCATACCTGTCGCCACGACGACTGCGACGCAGGCGCCATTGGAGATGGTGGTCGAGGAGAAGAGTAGGTTGCTCTTCTCCTGCGTTTCAGGTTTAGGGGATGGAAGGCATGCAGGCCGTCGATGTTGTCACTTGTTCAGACATCGCCAGGGTGGTTGCGTGCTTTTCGGGCAAATGCCACAAAGCTGAACATCGTTCGAAGCTTGTACAAGCACGAGCTGTTTGCGAAGGTCCAGAGAAACTCTCAGAGCAAGGTACAAACCAAGGTGAGGACAGGCTCAGGCCAAACCTGGCTCAGGTCCTCTGTGCATTAACGAAGTTACAGAAGCCGGTCCGGTCCTGGATGACGCAATCCTTCTCCTTCGACTTTGGCAGTGGGTCGGGCTCCTAGCAGCCGGCTCATTCCACGTCTTCTACCGCTTGCAACAGCACCGCTCTCTCCATGGACTCAGCCGCGATGCACAACAGAGGGGTGCCCGTAGGAATCGGCTGTCAATCTTTCTGTCTGTATCTCCGCTCTCTCTGGCTCTCTCCTTGCTCTTCCCTCCTGCATCTGTGCGTGCAGATTGGTATTTTGCTGGCCTTTCTGCGCGCCAAAGCTGAAAAAAACAAGATATGCCAGGCACCCTTGCGAATCTGGCCTTAGAGACGCTCTGGGACTCGCCCGTGAGCTGGGACTGCTCGATCTTGATCCTCATGCACGGGACAGTCACTGGTAGCCTACGTATCCTGAGCCCAACTGCTAAGTTCGAGAACCTATGTAAGGGCTTCAAGGCATCGCGATCGCTTGTAAGTGTAGTGAGGTAAGGCCCTTGCGTTGTGGTCTTGAGCCGCATCACTCGGCAATCGGCGGGCACCTGCACAAACGACGCTCTTTCAGGGCTCTTGCCATGATCCGGGGATATGCGGGGAAATACCCAAGAAATTTGAATAGTGCTGACATTCTTGTCCGGAGATGTTCGGGCAGGTATCGTTTAAGGACATCGAAAACATCGAAGCTACACCATTGACTGCAGGGGCAGTTCACAAACACTCCTTCGCTGCCGGCCGTTTTCGGCTCCTGCTCAACTCAGACTCAGGCCTTCAAGCTGCGAGTTAAGGAGATGGCTCGTAACATTTGAATGAATCTGTGTTTATGTTGGTGTCTCTCTTAAGGCTGCTACGAAAAGCACGCCTTCGCACACCGGCATGCACCCTGGCCAGCCTTGAATTTGGACTTAAGGGCTCAGGTTTCCTGGCCTTGTCGCCGACCTTAACCTCCAAAATGTCACCGGGCACGACGTCTTCTGCATCGACGCTCGTCTGAGACGGGGCAACGACTGCATGCGACAGCCAACAGCCTAACAGGCACATCCAGCTCAGGGGCTGAAGACCTGATCTGAAACTCGCAAGCTCCCAAGAGCCCAGCTTCGAAAAATACTCCATGCTCGCGGGTAGAAGATGAGACTGCTGGAGAACGGGAGACAGTCTGCTCCAAACCCAAAGACTCTGGTTTGCAAGGACGCTGTCTTGGGGTGCAATCCGCGGTGCCCAGTTTCCATCCCGGAGAACAAAAGCGCACTCTGGTGCTAGCCTTGGTATCGAGGCATGCTCTGCTTAGATCATTAGCCCAGCTTCGGAGATCTGGGATTTAAAGGAAACTCCCGAAGCTGCAGCTGCCAACGAGCCCATCACCGGAACGAGATGGCACGAGCAAAATACAATCGGAATTGAAGTTAGTTGGGCCTCGCGATGCAACTACCGCAGTCCAGAAAATCCGCAGAGCCTACGAAGTGGACCCAGGGAGAAGCGGCAAAAGAAGCTGGAGGTCCCCACTTCCTAGGGGCTTAGTGCTTTGTCCCTTGGAGTTGCGAGTCAAAGCTCACGAATGCACAGAGTTGGACAGCACACCAAGGCTTAAGACCATGGATTCATGAATTAGGCATATCAGCACATCACCAAAAGGACAGGCCGAGGAACTTCTTCAGTGCATCCAAAGCTTTCTCAGCTTTGGAGTCCTGCAGGGATGATATAAGCACTATATGCCTATTATTCTGAACTATGACTGCTAAACAACAAACCAGGAATAATGCGAATGACAATGCTTGTGATAAGAATGAATTTTTTCCATCATAATGAAAATTAATCATGATACTCATTATTATGAGCCCTCGAGGGCTTTAAGTCGTCGGATTGGGCCTATCCTGATTCTCGGTGTACGAAAATAAGGTTGGCATAAGCACTTGAGAAGGTTTCGAGGTTCGAGGACTTATGGGGTCGGATTGATGGTTGGGTTCAATGCACTCTGAGGTCTTGGACCATCCTCGTAAGGCCAGCTTGGGGATTCGGACTCAGCGGGGTTTAAGTTTGTTTCTGGTTCAGGTGGCTTTTGCATGTCTGAACTTTGGAAGAACTGTACTTGCGAGACGACCTCAAACATCCAACAGCTGCCAACGTCCTACGTAAACTGATTTTGAGCAGGGGCTGCAGCACACATCGCCCTGATCCCTCAGCACCCGAAAACCCGAGTCCTGCCAAATCGCAATAATGGCGTTTAGGATAAGAATGGTCAGGATCACAAACGGCTCCACGTACGCCTGAAGCACGCCGAACAAGCAGAGCTTGAAGCGGGGTACGTGAAGCAAGCCGACCAAGCAAGTGAAGACACCGTCAGGCATTGGTAGACTGATAGACAAGGATCCAGATGACAGTCATCACAAATCATGGGTATGAGGCTCGCAGAAGTCCTACGATTATCACAGTTCTCCATGACACCAAGCCCATGCAACAGATCAGGTAGCCAACTCGCCGAGATCTGCAGCTTCCGCGACCGAACCCCTACCGAAAGCCTCGTCGGCATCATTAACCATTGCCATCGTTCAGGTGCATCATCATCATCATCGTCATCGTCATCATCATCATCATATCATCGTCAGCAAACAGGGCGAGACTGCCTTCAAACCTTCCTCCTTCGACTTCTCATCAAAGAAAGCCAGGAGGAAGGAGATCATAGCCTTGTGCGAACAAGGCAGGGTCTTTCAGGGTCCTCAAATTCAAAATCAACGTTCATGGCCTAAGAACGCAGAGTTATCAAGCTTGGAGCTTAGAATTTGCTATTCAGGCTCAAGGATTCAGTATTCGGGGTGTTGGAAGGAAGTACGATCTTGTGATACTTTTTTTGAGGAGGTGCTGCAGTGCACATGCCTGAAACTTGAAACTCTGGCCTGATTTAGATTCGCGCATTCTATTCCCTACACGAACAGAACAGCCACTCTCCCAATGGAAGCTTCAAGCATAATTCCCAAAGATCAAAACCTCCAAAGACCCTTACACCTCTCTCCGCGGTGGCTTGCGCACAGGTCCCTGCATCGGGGTCCCTGAAGAAGCTCTTGGTGGCCCAGGGGCTGAGGCTAGCAGGATTCGCACCAAGGTGTCCTGCCACATAGGAACCCTGGAACAGTTGCTTCTTGGCGGATTCGACAGCTGTCCGCAGGTCCTCGAACTGCTCTATGATGAGTTCCAAGAGCGATTTCCTGAGGTCGGGGTGAGATCAAAGCGCGAGCTACCATCTGGTCCTGCAGGAATACCAACATCATCCCAAACATGTCCGCTTCCCCGTGAGCACAGAAGTGCGACCATTGCAAAAAGCCAGCCTGCTGATGCTGTCATTGAACAAAGTGAGCACTCTTTTAAAAAGTGCCTCTGGAACGCCTGGGCACATGCACGACGCGAGGCTAATTGCCAATTGCATTCGAGCCACTTCTCCTGCTCTTCCAAGGCGTTTGGGCCGTACCTCAATTCCCAAATCGAAAGCTTGAGGAACCCCGCATCTAGTTTCACAGGTTTTTCCTCTTGCCTGTCATGGCTTCTCGGTCTCCTCTGCCCTAAAGCCCTGAGCACTTCCCTTGGCCCCAGGGACAAGCCTTTGGACCAGGATCCAATTCATGAGCTTGCATGTTTGGCGAACTTGGGGGGTGTTTAATCATAAGTTCCGGAGTTCTAAACTCCCAGCATGGCGAGAAGCGTGGCAGTTGCATGTCGCTTCAGGGGCAAAGGCCCAACAAGACGAGGCCGGAAGCAAATCTTGCTGGATGCGATGAGAGAAGCCAAACGACCGCTTCAGAGATGCATGTAGTCTACGTCCATACTGAGAGCAAAGCCGTCTGTTGAGGCCAAGGAGCTTTTTTCTGTTCGCTTCTACTTGGGCTGACGTAAGCCCATGGTCGGCCTTCACATTGTAAAATTTCAGCACCTGGGCCAGCGGTCTGGTTTTGGGGATTGGAGAATGAGATCAGATGCTGGACTAGACTTAGCTACCAGCATCAGACCCCACGTGGACAAGCAAATCATCCAGGCTTGAAGCAGAATCGTCTGCAGCAATTTCCCTTCCCTCACACTCATTCTCCCACAAGCTTTGGCACGTCCTCCACCGGCTGGCAATGCGGCGCCGTAATATTGGCTGCCATGAGGCAGCGAGATTGGCCTGCACGTTCCACGTCGCAGATCTGTGGACATCGATCCAGATTTGCATTCCTTCAGATAGCAAATGGGTTCCGTAAGATACGGCCTACTAATAATTACTAATAGAGAAATAGTTCGAACGAAGCATGATTGGAACAGATGGACTCTTCATACTCCGATATTCTGTCAACGAATCTCCTACGATGCACGGACCCAAACCCGACGAAAAATGAAGCCCTCACATCGTAGATGCGGCTTCCGGTGAAGAACTGCGCACGACGACCAACATGGGTCTGAACCATTGATGAAGCACCACTAGGTCACTATGTATGCTGTGCTAACCTGGCATGCCTGCTGCCACAAGATATGCCGTACGGGCCTTTCCGAGCGCGCAGGCAGCAAGTTTCTCGGCTGCCCTCGCTGACACACGTCTCTGACTTTCGAGCCAAGCTGCAGCAAGCTGTAGCATTGGCGGTGCTGCAAATGCACATCACTGCATACGAACACACATACATACATGCATCCGTCCGTCCATCCATGCAGGCATGATGCATGCAAACATGCATGCATACATACACACACACACACATACAGATATGGACATACATAGGTACATACACATCCCCCCATCCATCAATGGATGCATGCAGTGCATGCATGCATTCGCAAATACATAGATCAACACTAGCAAACATGCCTGCACGCTGCGTACGTACATACATATATACAGACATACATGTCAATTAATTTCTTGGCGCTTGCATAGCAAGCGAGGATACCCGACCACGGCTTCAACGTTGTACTCAGCAGGCGAACAGGTAGTTTCATACACTACATCACATTGCATGCAACACATACATACATGCATGCATGCATAAACATCTACATGTACATATACATATACATATACAAGTGCATACACATATACATATACAAAACGATGCATACACATACATAATCTTGCGTTGCGTGAAAACACACACACAAATGTCTTGATGACAAAACAGGTGTGCATCGCGTAAATGTATGCGGGTATGTACGTGCGTACGCATGTACGCATGTACGCATGTGCGCATGTATGTATGTATGTATGTATGTATGCATGTATGTATGTGTATGTATGTGGGTGTATGTGTATGTGTATGTATTGTATATACATGCATATATGTATGTATACACACGCATAACTTATATATGTAAACATACATACATACATACATACATACATACATACGTACATACATACATACATACATACATACATACATACATACATTTCTTTAATGAACATACACACTGTACACAGGATACTCATGAATGTCAACTTACTTGGTTCGTTCGAATCCCGGGGCGATTTAAACAAGAAAAAGTCAGCAGCACAACACCAGGAAACTAAATACAGTTCCCTACGCACTACGGGTAACAGCCGATGTGGTGAATACTGGAAGCTTCCGGCCGCCACCTGTACAGCTCCGAACACAGGCCTGTCGCCGTTCCCAGACCTGTCACCAACTTGGGCAATTCCGTTGGCACTACATTTCATATCATGGCGAAGCGAACATCATCTTCATGACCGTGCCTCATCACAGCAAACAACAAACCAACAACCAACAGCCAACAATCACAACCCACCCCGCCAGCCAGCCAGCCAGCCAACCAACCGCCAACCAACCAACCAACCAACCAACCAACCAACCAACCAACCAACCAACCAACCAACCAACCAACCAACCAACCAACCAACCAACCAACCAACCAACCAACCAACCCCAACCAACCCCAACCAACCAACCACAACCAACCAACCAACCACAACCAACCAACCAACCAACCAACCAACCAACCAACCAACCAACCAACCAACCAACCAACCAACCGACCAACC